CGTTGAAGCTTGAAACTTTGTAGGATGTTTATATATATGTTGAAGATGTGCACCTATTAATTTAGGATTAATTCCAGACATTTTTCTTGATTTTCCGGGCTTTGGAACTTAGTCATTTTTAGCAGTCTGGCGTGGAAAATCCAAGATGGCAGCCTTTGCCTCTCATTGGTCCAAATGTTGTTTTGACATATAACATTGCACTCATTTTGCAATACGGCCAATTGTGGCTTTGCCCCATTTTTGAAAATTTGAAATTGCTATTGCAATGTATCACAATTTATTGTATCTTAGTATGATAGAGAACACTAACTTGATATAATGCTGTGATGCACTGAAAACTACATAGTTTTGAAGTTAAATACTACCAAGTTATGAACACTTATACAAGTTGAATATGGATTACAGTCCAATTTCTCTGTATAATTATCAAATCCAATGTTCTGTGGTTAAATCCTCCAAAAAGTTTTAGAAAAGTTGCCAAAATATGATATATTTTTTATGAATTATATTGTGACATATTGTCACTAGACAAATATTGTGATATATTGTCACTAGACAAATATTGTGACAAATTGTCATTAGAAAAGTATTATGATATATTGTCACTAGACAGATACTGTGATATATTGTAACTAGACAATTATTGTGATATATTGTCACTAGACAAATATCTGCTGGAGATATTAGTGAAGGTCATAAGTCTGTGTTATATCTACTGGGTATGTAAGTGAAGGTCATTAGTCTGTGTTATATCTACTTGGGATGTAAGTGAAGGTCATTAGTCTGTGTTATATCTACTGGGGATGTAAGTGAAGGTCATTAGTCTGTGTTATATCTACTGGGGATGTAAGTGAAGGGCATTAGTCTGTGTTATATCTACTTGGGATGTAAGTGAAGGTCATTAGTCTGTGTTATATCTACTGGGGATGTAAATGAAGGTCATTAGTCTGTGTTGATATCTACTGGGGATGTAAGTGAAGGTCATTAGTCTGTGTTATATCTACTGGGGATGTAAGTGAAGGTCATTAGTCTGTGTTGATATCTACTGGGGATGTAAGTGAAGGGCTGTGTTATATCTACTGGGGATTAGTCTGTCTGTTTGATATCTACTTGGGATGTAAGTGAAGGTCATTAGTCTGTGTTATATCTACTGGGGATGTAAGTGAAGGTCATTAGTCTGTGTTATATCTACTGGGGATGTAAGTGAAGGTCATTAGTCTGTGTTGATATCTGTGTTATATCTATAGTCTGTGTTGATATCTACTTAGGATGTAAGTGAAGGTCATTAGTCTGTGTTATATCTACTGGGGATGTAAGTGAAGGTCATTAGTCTGTGTTATATCTACTGGGGATGTAAGTGAAGGTCATTAGTCTGTGTTGATATCTACTGGGGATGTAAGTGAAGGTCATTAGTCTGTGTTGATATCTACTGGGGATGTAAGTGAAGGTCATTAGTCTGTGTTGATATCTACTGGGGATGTAAGTGAAGGTCATTAGTCTGTGTTATATCTACTGGGGATGTAAGTGAAGGTCATTAGTCTGTGTTATATCTACTGGGGATGTAAGTGAAGGTCATTAGTCTGTGTTATATCTACTGGGGATGTAAGTGAAGGTCATTAGTCTGTGTTGATATCTACTGGGGATGTAAGTGAAGGTCGTTAGTCTGTGTTATATCTACTGGGGATGTAAGTGAAGGTCGTTAGTCTGTGTTGATATCTACTGGGGATGTTAGTGAAGGTCGTTAGTCTGTGTTGATATCTACTGGGGATGTAAGTGAAGGTCATTAGTCTGTGTTGATATCTACTGGGGATGTAAGTGAAGGTCATTAGTCTGTGTTGATATCTACTGGGGATGTAAGTGAAGGTCATTAGTCTGTGTTGATATCTACTGGGGATGTAAGTGAAGGTCATTAGTCTGTGTTGATATCTACTGGGGATGTAAGTGAAGGTCATTAGTCTGTGTTGATATCTACTGGGGATGTAAGTGAAGGTCATTAGTCTGTGTTGATATCTACTGGGGATGTAAGTGAAGGTCATTAGTCTGTGTTGATATCTACTGGGATGTAAGTGAAGGTCATTAGTCTGTGTTGGGGGATGTAAGTGAAGGTCATTAGTCTGTGTTGATATCTACTGGGGATGTAAGTGAAGGTCATTAGTCTGTGTTGATATCTACTGGGGATGTAAGTGAAGGTCATTAGTCTGTGTTGATATCTACTGGGGATGTAAGTGAAGGTCATTAGTCTGTGTTGATATCTACTGGGGATGTAAGTGAAGGTCATTAGTCTGTGTTGATATCTACTGGGGATGTAAGTGAAGGTCATTAGTCTGTGTTGATATCTACTGGGGATGTAAGTGAAGGTCATTAGTCTGTGTTGATATCTACTGGGGATGTAAGTGAAGGTCATTAGTCTGTGTTGATATCTACTGGGGATGTAAGTGAAGGTCATTAGTCTGTGTTGATATCTACTGGGGATGTAAGTGAAGGTCATTAGTCTGTGTTGATATCTACTGGGGATGTAAGTGAAGGTCATTAGTCTGTGTTGATATCTACTTGGGATGTAAGTGAAGGTCATTAGTCTGTGTTGATATCTACTTGGGATGTAAGTGAAGGTCATTAGTCTGTGTTGATATCTACTGGGGATGTAAGTGAAGGTCATTAGTCTGTGTTGATATCTACTGGGGATGTAAGTGAAGGTCATTAGTCTGTGTTGATATCTACTGGGGATGTAAGTGAAGGTCATTAGTCTGTGTTGATATCTACTGGGGATGTAAGTGAAGGTCATTAGTCTGTGTTGATATCTACTGGGGATGTAAGTGAAGGTCATTAGTCTGTGTTGATATCTACTGGGGATGTAAGTGAAGGTCATTAGTCTGTGTTGATATCTACTGGGGATGTAAGTGAAGGTCATTAGTCTGTGTTGATATCTACTTGGGATGTAAGTGAAGGTCATTAGTCTGTGTTGATATCTACTTGGGATGTAAGTGAAGGTCATTAGTCTGTGTTGATATCTACTGTGGATGTAAGTGAAGGTCATTAGTCTGTGTTGATATCTACTTGGGATGTAAGTGAAGGTCATTAGTCTGTGTTGATATCTACTGGGGATGTAAGTGAAGGTCATTAGTCTGTGTTGATATCTACTGGGGATGTAAGTGAAGGTCATTAGTCTGTGTTGATATCTACTGGGGATGTAAGTGAAGGTCATTAGTCTGTGTTGATATCTACTGGGGATGTAAGTGAAGGTCATTAGTCTGTGTTGATATCTACTGGGGATGTAAGTGAAGGTCATTATGTATATCTACTGGGGATGTAAGTGAAGGTCATTAGTCTGTGTTGATATCTACTGGGGATGTAAGTGAAGGTCATTAGTCTGTGTTGATATCTACTGGGATGTAAGTGAAGGTCATTAGTCTGTGTTGATATCTACTGGGGATGTAAGTGAAGGTCATTAGTCTGTGTTGATATCTACTGGGGATGTAAGTGAAGGTCATTAGTCTGTGTTGATATCTACTGGGGATGTAAGTGAAGGTCATTAGTCTGTGTTGATATCTACTGGGGATGTAAGTGAAGGTCATTAGTCTGTGTTGATATCTACTGGGTATGTAAGTGAAGGTCATTAGTCTGTGTTGATATCTACTGGGGATGTAAGTGAAGGTCATTAGTCTGTGTTGATATCTACTGGGGATGTAAGTGAAGGTCATTAGTCTGTGTTGATATCTACTGGGGATGTAAGTGAAGGGCATTAGTCTGTGTTATATCTACTGGGGATGTAAGTGAAGGTCGTTAGTCTGTGTTATATCTACTGGGGATGTAAGTGAAGGTCATTAGTCTGTGTTGATATCTACTTTGGATGTAAGTGAAGGTCGTTAGTCTGTGTTATATCTACTGGGGATGTAAGTGAAGGTCGTTAGTCTGTGTTGATATCTACTGGGGATGTAAGTGAAGGTCATTAGTCTGTGTTGATATCTACTTGGGATGTAAGTGAAGGTCATTAGTCTGTGTTGATATCTACTGGGGATGTAAGTGAAGGTCATTAGTCTGTGTTGATATCTACTGGGGATGTAAGTGAAGGTCATTAGTCTGTGTTGATATCTACTTGGGATGTTAGTGAAGGTCGTTAGTCTGTGTTGATATCTACTGGGGATGTAAGTGAAGGTCATTAGTCTGTGTTGATATCTACTGGGGATGTAAGTGAAGGTCATTAGTCTGTGTTGATATCTACTTGGGATGTAAGTGAAGGTCATTAGTCTGTGTTATATCTACTGGGGATGTAAGTGAAGGTCGTTAGTCTGTGTTATATCTACTGGGGATGTAAGTGAAGGTCATTAGTCTGTGTTATATCTACTGGGGATGTAAGTGAAGGTCGTTAGTCTGTGTTATATCTACTGGGGATGTAAGTGAAGGTCATTAGTCTGTGTTATATCTACTGGGGATGTAAATGAAGGTCATTAGTCTGTGTTGATATCTACTTGGGATGTATGTGAAGGGCATTAGTCTGTGTTGATATCTACTGGGAATGCATTTGATTTACTACCTATATAAAGCTTGCCTGTGCTTTTACATTCAGGATGAAGTTTGTTGAGGTCTGATGTGACATATGTCCACCTCCTAAGTAAACTTTACGGTAATCTGTAGTATCTGGCGGCACTGATGCAGTGACAAGTATAGGCTTCACATTAATGTAGGTTGTTGTATATTTTCACATTAATGTGCTCGACTATCGGTCGGTGTATCTAAGAAGACAGTTACAACACAAGTCAGTATCTGTGTTGACGTAGCTTTACATTCTGACATCTTTTGACCTTTACTGTGATTTTACAGAAGTAGTAGTTGTGTGTGTATGTGGATAGAAAAGGCATTATATGCATGTCCTGAAACACATTACACATGGTATGAGGTGTTACTCTAGAGATGTGACACTTTCACTGAACATAAAGTGAAAAAAGAGAACATGTGTTTCTCAACGTCAAAGTGTATGGTTTTAATATACAATTCAGACATCATTTCTGGAGTAAAAAGTTTTTTTAATTTACAAAGTATTGGAGATAATCATTATAAGTGATTCAATATCAGTATGTTTGACAAGAGAATTAGCTGGAGCGGCTCATTGGACAGATGGATACAACTGTACACAATCACAAGATGAAAATTAAACTGTTCTGAATGATTTAAAAGAATGTCATTTCAGACTTCCAAACTGCTACAAAATTGTAGTTTTCTGTAACTTTAACAAAACAGAGTTTAGGAATCACTGACCAATCATTCTCAATGTGATTATAAACTTTGAAAAACATGATGCATTTGTTATATGTTCCTTTGTCACTTGAGAATTTTAGATGAATAATTTTTGAAATGATGGAATAGTCCTTAGTACAGACTGTAGTATAAACTTGTAGGAAGTAGTTGTAATGATATCTTAGTGATATAAATTATTAATTGGAGTATTATTTAGTAATAAGGATACATATCATTGTAATAAAACCAAAAACAAATATGGTGACATATCGTATGCTTATAATGCTGTAGTTAACTTGTCCTGAACAACACATGTCTTAGATGCCTCAGCATATGTATTTGTATAGCCATTGTGACGCACTTGTTTTATTTTCTTTCCGAGCATGATGCCAAATTCTTTTCTGAAGTTGTCATTGAGCCATCCATACAGAAAAGGATTGATGCATGCTGAGCTCATGGCTATGATTTTTAGTAATAAGTCAATAAGTCTGAAGTAGGGTCCATACACAGCTTTGTGATTTAGGGTGATTATCAAGGCAAAGATATTCCAGGGCAACCAGGAAACTGCGAAAAGAACCACAATTGAGATCAGTATTCTGTTTGTCCGATTATTCCGTCTCGTTTCTGATCTTTTGAGTGGACGTTGTCGTAACACAAGATGAATTTTAAAGTACAAAACAGCTGTCAATCCAAATGGTAACAAAACTTGGAAAATAAATATAGAAAAAGTGTACGTCAGAGCACCATACCGTGGCCACTTCTCATAGCAGAAGACCTTGTGTAGATTGAATAACGGTACATTTATAACGTCATACTGTGTGTGGATCATGACGGGGGTGGCAAGTCCAAAAGTGATGAACACTATCACAGCTATAATTAGGATGGCCATCTCCTTGGTGATTCGCTTCCTGAAGGGAAACACAATCAAAATGTACCGATCAACTGCGATCATCATCATACAGGTTGCAGAATAAAATATAGGAACTCCGAAAGTAGGCATGATGATTCGGCACAAAACCTCACCGAATGCCCAGAAGTCTGTAAGCTGGTAGTGGAGCTGGAATGGTAGATTAAACACACACAAAACGATGTCGGACACAGCGAGTGAGGCGATGAAAATGTTGGTGACTTTGTGAAGATGAGGGTGTCTCACTATCACTATAACAACCAGAAGATTCTCTATGAACCCGAGAATGATGACGATTGAATAGATGGTGATAATGAAAATACGTAAAGGTTCACTTGTGAGCAGAAGGTCCTGCTCAATTTGTCCGGTCTCATTCTGTTGTGACATCTGAAGCTGCAGAAGCAGATCATCGGTAAAATTTAGCATGTCGTATGTTATCCACAGGGACTCGTCTGCCATGCCTCGTAGTGCTTACTCTGTGCGTCTTGCTACCAGGTGATCTGGTGAAGATCTTCTGGTGTGAAGATGCATGTTGAAGTGTTGGTTTTATTTATTGGTGCTGTGCCTCTAGGTTTTACCAAACTGTTGTCTCCAAGGCTACTGACCTGAAAATACATACAGGTTAACAGTTAATAATGGTTACAAGGCTGTGTTCAATAAACATTTCTCACCAAAACAAATGTAGGTGTAATGTTGATAGCAGTTTACTAATATGAGTAGACTATATAAGTCAGTATCTGGAACGAGTGGTACTTTATACTGGGATACATTCAACCTTTTGTAGACTATATAAGTCAGTATCTGGAACAAGTCGTACTTTATCCTGGGATATATTCAACCTTTACCATTATACACAAATTTGCCTCATGTTCATTTCTTCCTTTCAGTATTATATGTTTACTTCCATCTTAAATTCGCCATCCGTGGTCATTGATGAAAAGGGCAAAAATTATGTCGGGTCAAAATTTCACAGTAAACAATATCCAGTTGTCAGGTTTAACTCGACTGTCAACCATACTCCTGCTGATTAGTATCATTTATACTTGAATTAGTGTCCTGTTTCCAGTGTTATGTACAGTGACAGAAATGGTGTTAGAGTCGTCCATCATTCTAAAGCCGATACTCTATATAGGTTTGGACCCCATAACTTTGACACTTTGACTGACAGAAAGTGACGAATATTTTATGTCCGGAGCTGAAACCACAACAATCAGCTAGTAATACATTAAAACATCCATCAATTAACACTTCCATATAGTCTCTATTAATGCTGCTTTACTTGCCCTCCTTATTAATATCATATTTTCTTTGCTTGATAAAGATCAACATTGGTGGTCGGTGACAAAGCATCACACATTTTATCTCAGTGCTTTTCACTTCCAGCTGGGGTTTAAATCAGTCCTGCCAGATATCACAAGGAATACCTATATATGATCCTTCAGGCTCCGAGATGTACCAGTGAAAACTGAGCGTTATTGTCGCAAGAGGCATAAAAACTAGCCACCATTTACTTAACTGTAGCCCAGTGGAGTACCATAACATAGCTGTTTATTGCTCAAGCTGTACCTAACAGTGTTGAAGGTGTTACCATCACATCGGAGAGGAATTCTACAGCTTTATTATCGCCTTTAAAACAATTGCTACCCATTTCTATGTAAAACTGATAAAACCATTCCGTTACATTGTATTACATTAAAATTACTGTGGAATACTGCCTGTCGTCTTGTAACCCAACAAGCTTCTTTGTATTCTGTAAAGTGTTTCATTGATTGTGGTGTTAGAAGTAAACTTCTTAATGAAGCAGATGCATAAATAAATTTAGAAGACAAGATAATACATTCCATGGTTGTAGGCATAAGATTGAACACTTCTGAAATTGTAGAAAACAATTTAACAAAAAAGTTTCTAAATAAATTGCATAGAGAAACTATCATTTGTTTATCTGAAACTTATACAAAACAATTGGATCTTAACAACAAGCAACATGTCTTTGTAATTCTTGTACATGGGAAATCCTGTTTGTTTTATGTCTTCTCAGTCTGTAGACTTGGGTACAAAGTCCCCTGAGGTAGGTGTATGTAGACCAACTTGTTGAACTTAATCATATCCTTTTATTCTTTCAAATCACCTCGGGAAAAATGTTACGATTTACTCCCAATCAAGCATGAAATAATTTGATGCTATTTCCTTACTGTCCTTGGCATTGTAGGAAAACTAATGGAAAAAAATCAGTCCGATTTTCATCTGTTTCCAAGGTTATGTTTTATACTGGTTGTAGCATGAACAATGGACTGTCACATGTGTCAGGATTGAAACGGAGACTAAATTGATCAATTCTGAGCTAAGACAGGAAACTTTGGACTGAACATCAAAAGCAATTTGAGGATTTCATAAGGCAGAAATTGATTTAGAGGCAGATAATATTTTTTCCTTTGAATTTTGTATTTTATTGCCTGTCTTTTGTGTAATTTGATAAAATAATATAATTTTTTTATATAACTCATGATGTCATTGCATTTAAATCCAAACATAAGTTAAGGAAATAACAGCCTTAATATTCTATACTAATTGATATGTTTTATATTGTGTGAAACACTTATCAGAAAATGGCAAGAAATGATAGCATGACATTACTCAAAATGCTTAAAAACTTTTTGAGTATTTAAATAATTTTTCATGCTGTTTCATCAGTTTATCATTTTTTTTAGTATAAACGATCATCCTTAAAGCTGATGCAGCGGTTGTTGAGAACAAATCACTCCTCAGTGAGACTTTTGGTGGAGCTTTATTTGATTGTCGAATATAATGATGTTTTACACCATGGTTTTACTGCAGAAATCTATAGAGAAATCGAATTGTTAGGATATCTTGGTTCTGTTCTGTGTTCATTGTTATTTTTTTCCTGTTGGGAAACTTTCAATGGAAAACCTAAGCTACACTGTCAGTGTTCTTGTACTAAAAATCAACTTTAAAAAAATATATATCCCTGAATAAATTCTTTCAAAAGTACAAAAGAAATTTCTAACTATTGATAATCAATTAAATAAACTTTTTAACAGGTCTATTGAAAGTTAAATCTCAGAGTGATTAAAACAAGTTTTTGGAACGTATCAATTGGATTATTTTTATGCTGAATTGGCAGAAGTGACAATCCCTACCTTCATTACTGGAGATTTCTACGCTTGAGGCAGCTCTGAATTATTGAAAATACAGCTATTGTGATACCAGGAAAACACAATCATATGATTGTATCTACTATGTGAAAAGTATTGGTAATCGCAAAAAAGGCTGATCCAGCTACGGACACTAATCAGTCTAGGTTTAAATCTATGAAGACAACGTATTGATAGAAGAGCACCCTCAACCCTCACACTCAAATTTTTCAAATTCTGCTTAACCTTTGTCTCAGAGTCAGAAAAAAGTCTATAATACTTGAATGTTTACATAAACCTTATCCTGTGAGGTCATTATTACTGTTCATATAAACACAGATTCCCCTCACTAAATGTCTGTAATTGTTGTACCACATTCAACATGGCAGCCAACATGGCAGTCAACATGGCAGCCAACATGTAACAGCATTGCCACTAATCATTGGTAACAAATTACTATATAATTCAGTCAGCAGGATATTTTTACTTTCAATCATATAGAAAAAAATGTTTGTCTCATCAGATGTTGTAATTGACCAATTAGAAAGGTGTAACTAGCCATCACAAGGACGCACCAATCACGTGTACCTCTCCAATCAATCCCTGCTTGTTTTATCGTTTGAGTCTCTATATCGGTGAGAAGGTATTAGAGTACGACCACACACTAGCAATCTCATACCCCTCCAGTTATTGTCAATAGGTTTAACAGGCATTTCTGCCCACACCTACAGACATGTATAGTACCCTCTACCAGAGAAGGATGATTTTACATTGTATACTCTGTGTTTACAAGCTGACAGACAGACATGCCTCCAGGTTGAGGTAACCCTGACAAAACTTTAGTCGTTTGTTAAATTGATGGTTATGAAAAAATCCCTATTATGTGAACAGGCAATTGAATATTGCAAACATGATATTCAGTTGGTAGTTCATGCTTCCAAATTATCTTTGCCCATCATTCCACCCAACTTGACCTTCTCTGATTCCTCCCCTCACTGATTCATTTGCCGGTATGCCACAGGTTCATGCATGTATTGCCAATGTCTCAAGTGCATCTATTGCCACTGCCTCAGGTGCATGTTTTGCCACTTTTTCAAGTGCATGTCTTGCCTCTGCCACAGGTGCATGTTTTGCCTCTGCCACAGGTGCATGTCTTGCCTCTGCCTCAGCTGCATGTTTCAGCACTGTCTAAGGTGTATACTTTCCCACTACAACACCTACATGCTTCACCACCACCTCAGGTGCCTGCCAGTACGATATGGTGTTAATGGCTAATGTGTGATTATTGTGTAATAGTTCATATAGCCACTACATACTGTAATAGTCCGGTAATTGCTCGGCAGTGAATTATCCATTAAACCTTTTAATACAGCTGTTCTAGGTGTGGTTACAGATTGATAGTTCAGTAAAATCACAGCTTTCCTCTTGTCATTTATTGTCAGAGAAATTATAGTTTCTTTGAACTGTAATTACAATTAACAAAAGCTGAGTTAATTATAGAATTATCAAAGGTTTCTACACTGTCAGATAACAGGAGACAAAGCCTCCAGTGATTTTTTTTTCAACTGTCATTTGTCCATTTTTGTGTTATAGTAAATTGACATTTTCCACTTCACCCATGTCGCCTGTGGAGCTTTCAATTTAATTTACAAGTCCTCTTTCATCAGGATAGATAACCAAGTGTTATTACTAACATTACCCACAATGCAAACTTTAAAATGACCAAGTACAGAGCAACAGGATGAGAAACTTACTAATTATCCTACGACCTTTCCTCTAGTCCAGATATGCTCCAGTCGGATACTTTTCACCAATAGAAAGGTTCTATAGTGCTTTATCAAATTAAAGAATTTAATTACAATTATAACTGAATCTCTGGACCTTGTTTTCCCATAGGAAACATGTAAGGTTTGTTTTAATTGAATTGGAAAGTCAGAACTTTGGATATAGTTTGTTGGATTTCATCAGAATCAGTATAATTAGCATCTGATGGAAGTCTTATGATGTAAGAATTTGGATTAAAAGCCAGTCATGAAAGCCTCTGAGAAGGGGTCCCAGAGTTGTCTTTTTTATGACTAGAATTTACTTTAACAATCCTTTTACATTTAAATAGATATCCAATATTCTTCATGGATGGCATTTAGCCCAAAGGTACATAAAACTTTGTGGTATAAATGTGTTAGATTCCATTCTCCCTATTTCAGTAGATAACATCTAAGTATTTGTGTCTATTTTTTGGGATACAAAATTATTCAAACTATGTGTTTTTTTTAGTTTTTTTTTTTTTGTTAAGTTAATAAAGATTAATGACGTAAAGGTTATCAAATTGGTTCAACTAAAATGATAAACTTCTCATGAAGAGTTAACATATATTGTAATTGTGTGGTCTATCAGTTAACATATATTGTAATTGCGTGGTCTATCAGTTAACATATATTGTAATTGCGTGGTCTATCAGTTAACATATACTGTAATTGCGTGGTCTATCAGTTAACATATACTGTAATTGCGTGGTCTATCAGTTAACATATACTGTAATTGCGTGGTCTATCAGTTAACATATACTGTAATTGCGTGGTCTATCAGTTAACATATATTGTAATTGCGTGGTCTATCAGTTAACATATATTGTAATTGCGTGGTCTATCAGTTAACATATATTGTAATTGCGTGGTCTATCAGTTAACATATATTGTAATTGCGTGGTCTATCAGTTAACATATATTGTAATTGCGTGGTCTATCAGTTAACATATATTGTAATTGCGTGGTCTATCAGTTAACATATATTGTAATTGCGTGGTCTATCAGTTAACATATATTGTAATTGCGTGGTCTATCAGTTAACATATATTGTAATTGCGTGGTCTATCAGTTAACATATATTGTAATTGCGTGGTCTATCAGTTAACATATATTGTAATTGCGTGGTCTATCAGTTAACATATATTGTAATTGCGTGGTCTATCAGTTAACATATACTGTAATTGCGTGGTCTATCAGTTAACATATACTGTAATTGCGTGGTCTATCAGTTAACATATATTGTAATTGCGTGGTCTATAAAATAAAAAGAATTTTTTAGAGGAGGAATTTATTTTTTGTGATTTCATGGATGCTTTAAAATCCAAAAATTCATACGACTAGAAACTGGTTAAATTTGTATAAGTGTAGATTTGATTGAACTATAGTTATCCACAAAATCTAATGTCCATGAAATAGTCATTTTAATATATTTAACAGCTTGAAAATATATAAGTTTACTTATTGTCTTCCTTTACACAGTATGCAAAGTAT